ATAGAGAGGAAGGGAGGGTGGGGGGGAGAAACATCGATCAGTTGCTTCCCGAACGTAGCCTGATGGGACCAAACCCAAAACCTGGGCATGTGCCCTGACTGGGAATTAAACTGGCGACCTTTTGGTGCAAGGGATGATGCTCCGAGCCACACCAGCCAGGACAAGATTTGTTTTTCTCACAAGTTTCCTGGTGATGCTGCTGCTGCTAGACCAGAAAAGACATGTTTCTTAGATTATAACAAATTATTACGGGAAATCTATTTAGTTATATAATAAAGCTATTTCTTGAAAATCCAGGCTTGTAGAATGTGCCAGAAATGTCACTATCTTCATTCCATATTCTTTTACTTCAGAGCTAGTTTGAATCTTTTTTTTTAGAACAGTTTTTTATTATTAAAAAATAATACACGATTGTTTTTAAAAATGTAAATCATTGTATAAAATGTGTAAAAACTTCATGGAAGAAATAGCATTTGACTTAAGATCATAAAGCATAGTTACAATTTGGGTATGCATGTCTTGGAGGAATTGGAGAGAGGGCGGAGTTCTAGGTGGAAGGAAGAAAAACAATCACGGAGGTGGGAAAGAACACAGGGTATTTTATTAGAATTCTTCAGTGAATGTTTGCCTGAAAGTAGACTAATTGAAAGCAGGCACGCTGGCCGGACTGGCTCAGTTGGTTGGAGTGTCATCCAGTACATAGAAAGGTCACAGTTTCAGTTCCTAGTCAGGGCATATTTGGGATGATTTTTTAATCAACTGAGCTACCTGGCCAGCGCTGATTTATACTAATGAGGGGAAAACACTTTTTTGTCATCTGAGTCATTGGGAATGAAAACCTCAGTGGGCCCAGTGGAAAATTTATTAGCACCTTTTGTAGAACAGCCTATCTACCCCTTTAATTCAGTATTTTACCTAGTTTATTTACTCTACTAAAATACCTCTGATTTCTCAACTGGAACGTTCTCCAACGTTACTTGTCCCCAGAGAGCAGTAGTGGAAAAAGTAAATGAAGGATTAATTGTAGTGAAAAGATTGCTTGGGGGAGGGGGAAAGTACTGGGTAAGAGTGAAATAATTAAAGGTATTAGGAAAAGTAGCCTACAATGGACCTGATGGAATATGAAAATAGAGGAGGGGGTGTTAAAAGTCATCATGAGAGTGAATAAAAGATACAGTAGGAGGCAGGTAGAGGAGTAGAAGGTTGTAGATAGAGGGATCTCAAAGTTTAAGATCTACACAGAGGAGCAGTTGTAAGAATTAAAGAAATTTAAGAAGTCATCATACTGCATGGGTTGTCAGATAATTATGTTGAGGAAATGAGGTCAAGATATTAGAAGGGTGGGCCCTGGTCTAGTAGTTTAGTTGGTTAGAGCATCGTCCCAATACTCCAAGGTTGCGAGTTCGATCTCCAGTCAGGGCACATACAAGAATCAACCAATGAGTGCATAAGTAAGTGGAACAACAAATCGATGTTCTCTCTCTGTCTCCCTCTCGCTCTCTAAAATCATTAAAAAAAAAAAA